CTATAACACTGAATGAGACATTGTCTGGACTACACTTAAGTCTCTCAAGCCAACCACGTCTTTCATTGTATTCCTTGATTCCTGATGTCTATGGTGCTAAACTTATTTATCTCATCTATAACCAATATAAACTAGATCAATTCAGTCTTACCCAAGACTATCTACATGTATCTAACGATGCATTTCGCAATAGTAAAGTTTCAGTTCTAGCGAAATTTTGAGTTTGATTTACTATATGTTGGAGAACAACCACTGCAGTTTTCAGAGGAAGATGGAAAGTTTACATTCAGATCTTTCAAAGATGGCGACGAGTTGAGTGAAGATTGTTCTACATCTGTTTCATTACCTCCCCTCACATCCATACTGCAAAGAAGGTCATCTAAAAACTTRATATATTTGACAGCGTTGCGAAGTATTTCAACCTTGGAGAGTTTTTTATCTGGAGGATATGTTGGCAGHAGTCTTCGTAGCTCAGTGAACGCTAGGTTCACGTGCTGTTGTCGCCACCTCTCTCGTTTGTTTGTAAAAATCTTGGTTTGGAACCCAAGTGCTATTGCAAGTGCATCCAGATCTAAATTCCCATACTCAGACGTGATAAACTGCTCTTGGATAGGTGTCAATGAAGGATAGAATAGAGGAACATTAGACCCTTGAATTGGTCCATAAACATGTCGAATTGAAAGACGTGTAACGTCCTCCATATTATACCATCCCGTCCTCAACGTCTGAGTGYTAGTRTCCTTTATGAGAGCGCTATCTTTCGATTTCTCTTTATCAACCCAATAATCAGCGGGTTTAATCCAATTAGATGGCAGCAACTGACGAAGGACTATTAGCGCAGTTAATTAATTGCTTCCCCCGCGTGAGGTCTCAATCACAATAAATATGTTCACTTCGACCCAGGACTTAGGATAGGCCTTTAGAGTGACAATACCATCAGACCAAATGGACATTTAACGGAAGACTTTCCACTCAAGCATGGTGTGCAGACTTTTCATACGTCGCGTGATCTTTTGTCGTTTTCCGGTTGTCCATTTCCCGCTTTCTTGTCTTGTTGATATTATCTTAAATCAATTCATTTACTTTACAATCAGGCTGAGTGGTATTCGCAGCTTTTTCAATTGAAAGTAAATATTCTAATCCATATGTCCTTCGGCGACACTTYCGCAGTTAGTCGATCATTAGTTAAAGGAATTTCCTATCTTTTCTCGAGAAGAAAATAATCATTCCTACTTTTCCTGAACCAATTCGAACAGTTTCACATGTTTTGATCACTTGTTCTAGAAGGAGAGATCTGCAAKCGACATCAATTATTATTTCTTTTTGTTTTTGTAGCGTCTCGAATGTCTTCCAAATAGCCTGCCAATAGCCAAATAATCTCCCAATTGCGGATGATCAGACAATTTGCAAACTGCACCTTAAGCTCAAGTTCATTAGCAAAAAACTGTTTCCAGCTGACAATTAAATGCACTAGGTATGTTTTGAAAAGGACAATTATTGCCCAAACCGGYCTGAAAAGGTGCTTGCTATAGTTTTCAMAGCATWTTTATAACTGCCATGTGTCCTTTCCTTCAGTGGAAATATTTCCATGTGTTGTGGATGATTTTGTTCCATCAGAGGCGATGTTATCGTCGGTGGGGCGCCATGTCAGTCAGCGCCTCGTTCCCCTCATATATCTTCATGGCTAGCTGTCAGTATTGTATCCACATGTACTCAAGCTTGCAAATCTAGGAAGTCCAGTGACAGACTGTCAGTCCTCCATGCATAGATGTATTCTGATGTAGCTCTCTGAAAATCTCCGTGTGTAGTAAGGACAGTTACTCCATTATAACATATGAACCCTTTGCTGTGCAGCTCCTTCTGAAGGATTCAAGCTCCCAAGAGAGCAGAAATGTTTTGTCAGTCTCCCATGTGAAGCTGCTTTTAGTATGTTGCATTCAATGGGTGGGCTGCCTGTGGCCTATTCTCTGGTCGTTTATTACGCAAGGGCTCCACATTGAATGGAAATAGTGTTCTTATTTCGTTTCACTTGTTTATTTATCCAACATGGCGGCAATTAGCTTTGCTTAGTTTTTCTGAGGGATTCTTGTTCATGTAATTGCAATTAAGTACATGCCATAAGATTCTTTGTATACCTTTACCAAGGATTTCAGTACACCTGATACGAAAGTATCTCCGGCAGGCTGCTCTGTTGCCTCAATCCTTATGAATGGCCAGGTAAATTTAAAAAAAACTTGGGGCTGCCAATATCTGCACTGCAACATATTATTGATTGATTTTCTCATGAACGGTTTTTGAAATAGCGCCTTTGATTTGAGTCTTTACCTGATCAATGTGATTATCCTTAACTACTATTTCAATGAAGTTTGTAATTAGTTGAAGACATAAAAACGTGCCATCGAAAAGTATTGTGGGTACGTAGTTTGAACACTTTGAAAATGACCCGTGCCTCATRCAGYAATGACTTGCRTATGAGTTCATTTCGTACAAGTAATTTTTTTTTCTCATTGTGACTATGCTTTCTCSWGGTAGATTGAGTAAAATCAACCAAAGTGCATCGCGACCATATCCCATGATGCTTTAGGGGTTTAGCTTGAGTGAAAAACTTGCCTCTTCAAGTTGATTCACACTGCACTYTAGATTTAAACCTCAGTATAAAGTCACTCCACTCTTGATTCTGGTATTACTTACAGACACAATTAGTTTCCCTGTCTGTTTCAGCCTTTCATATTTTCAGTCTTTTGATTCTTGTTCCTGTATTTATCCGTCTCTCTGTTTGCCTGTCTCTTTATTTCTCAGTATCGATCTATCTTTTTTGTTTGTTGTTTTATTTKTAACGCTATGTTAGATTTTTAAATGCAGCTACATACCCTTCCGACAACTTTGTTTTTGAATTGACCTCAGAAATACGTACCCCTTTGTTCGTTTTAATTAGATTTTGTTTTCTTTTTTCTTTAAAGTTCCTATATTGATGAATTGTGAAAACTTCTCAACAATTTAACGATTTGTTAACACCCAGTTTAAAACTCTATCAACTCTATCTTGTCCCACACAACTCGCTGACGCTTCAGCTCAAGGTTCCGTGAGCGTCGACTTGGTGTCTGCGTAAGGACAAGAAAAATCTGGTTTGCCATTAAATAGCAATCAGAGACCGACAAAAAATGCTTTTATTTATGCCGGCATATTATGGTACTCCATGATGGAAAACAACTGTGTCAGGAGCTCGTGTTTCGGGTTTGTCTATCGATATGAAATAGCCATAGGGCCTCTTGGCACGATTAGRCCACAATCACCRAGCCATCTAACGCTACTTTGCCGCCAATTTAATACAATCATTATGCTTGCTGACCGACCCCAATGGACGAAAGCCCTTTATTATCAAGCCTATATGAAATGGTGTTTCCGAGCACACGAACTGTGTATCAATCTTTGAGAGACAAGAATTGTCCTGAGACTTTGACAAGACTGCGTTAATATCCAAGCATGCTGTAAGCAGCTGGAAATTACTATGAGCGCTTTGAATCATGGGACACCCATCTTCTGCGCATGTCAGTCGTGCTCGTCCAGGGAAATATTCGGTCAGAAAAGTACTGTGGTGTGCCCTTAAGACATCAAAGCTTCCCTAAGATCCCTTAGATCATCGATCTTGATTGAATTGCCAAATTTCCTAGCTAATTTATAATTGTCATATGTTAAGCTACCGCTGTTAATAGTTGTGTCACTCTCAAATAGACTTCATATTGACTGGATTTTGCCTTTTTATACCAGATARCGCATCCTTATTACTTCACGAGAACAACGATAATATCACGGTAATTAATTATTCGGTGTTTCCAAAAGAACATTGACTGTTTGATGTCGCCAATTACTCATCCCGTATCACTGACACTGATTTCAAATTCCCATCGTTGTCAGCATTATTTCATGAAGTATTTCACATTATTAAAAACATATCTATCAACCGAGCGTATTAGACAAGGAGATTTATAAACTCAAATCCACACGTAGCTGGACTGTGTATATGGAAGTATCCAATCAACGAGGTTTGTMTTGAGAAGGCTAATCAGGCTTGAGATTTTCTAAGTGCATTCATAACTCTAGAGATGGAAAAGATACCACAGATTAACCATCGATGACTCTTGGAGATAACATGTACTCAAAACACCCGTTCGGATTTTGATAGTATCTRATCGAGTCTCTCTTTTTGTAATACACGAAAGCCTAAAGTTCACAACCAATAGATTGGGTTTATCAAGTGTCAAAACAACCAAAATAAATTTCTAACTTAAGACGACATAAATAGCTGCCAAAGATAACATTCTCTAGAGACAACACAGAAAATCAAGCACTGTCCCTCAGGGGGAGGGGGGAGGGGACAGTGGCGTCAAGCCTTCCGCTTGTATAAAGGTGTATTCCTCCGGTTGAGTCGTAAAATATGAATATTCGAATAGGAAAAACTGCGAAATGTACGTAACTGATACACATTTTCTTAAACATGAATCACAAAAGGCTTCATGAATCTGTCTCGGGTGTTTTTTTTTAAGGAGATTGTACAAAACAAAAAAAAAAAACAAAAAACGTCTCGAAATTACGAGAAGGAGAGTTTCAMGCTGAATGACGTAATTAGCTTACAAACTACGTCATGCATTAAACGGAGTCAAAAKTTTATAAAAGGTGCAGTATGATGCACCATTATTCATGAAGGCTACTGGAAAACACTCCACTGTTGGACCAAAAACTCACGGTTTTAGAGATTATTTTTGTAAAAGGCGTTGTCTTCTTTCAACAAAAGCATTCCTTCATGTCTCGTGTGTTCCTATTCCCATGTAACCTCGTCCTTGACTGATTCAATGACGTGGGGGTTAAGCCAATAACGTTTATTTGCTAATGATGCCATTAGAAAATTCGGGGTTAACGATCCTGTCCAAGCSCACCAAAAACCAAAAATGGATTCTATGCGGTATATTTTACAACATAGACTTCCTAAGCATGTAAAAAGATCGGCTATTGTTCATAATTCAATTCCTCAACCCCAGAAATTGTTTTTGTGAATTTGGAAAATGGATTAARAGTCGCGTGTTCCATGCCAGAGGGCTTACCCGTACGCAACTGCAATTGCTAGCCTCTCAGAGATGGTTGAGATAAAAGTAATAAAGCAACAAGTCATAGGCTTAGATTGTAACGGTAAGATATCGAGACCTATAATCAAGATAAGCAAAGACCACGAGCCGGTGAGTCGAGTTTTCTATTCTTGATGGTATAAGTCTGTAAGCTATTCGGCACAAACTACAACATGAAGTCACTCAATGTAACGTAGCTTTCTGCAACGAAAAATTACCAGCCAGGTTATAATTCCCTGGTAAGGATAAAGCGATGGTAAATTCATGTCGTTATGGAGGATTTTTGTCACAGATTTAATACTTACTTACCGATTTAATCTTTTTATTCCCGTGCGAAWATTTGGAAAGAAGTGTTTTACTGGATGAACAGCCAGATTCATAACCACAATGTCACCGACTAGGAAGTCATCAAATYWTAAAACAACACATTCGTCTTCCACAAGTAGCAGGTCTAGTTCTGCGAAGACAAAGTCATCAAAGACTSTTCATCGACAGAGAACGCTTAGTAAAAAAGAACAATCGAGGGATGGATTGTTTCATCGTCGACTKTTCACGAACAGYAGGGAGAGATGGAGACAATACCAAGTCAACATCGCATTTGCAGAACTAAGAAAATTACTACCGACCTATCCAACTGACAAAAAGCTATCCAAACACGAGATACTTCGTACRACCATGAAATACATTTGCTTTCTTGACAAACTACTCCATGATTTGGGTCAAAATGACGACGTTACACAAGTTCAGTTTCGTGAGAATCCAAACAGCTTGGAGTCTTGGAGTTCTGAGGAAACAGCCAGTTGCGGCAATGAAATATCGGGGTTAAATCTAGCGAACTGCAGTGATGATGTGATTRAAGACAAAATTGGTCTTACTTCTCATGGACAGATCCGATCTATTAACGACACTCGGGAAAAAGCCGATAATATTCACGATTATACCAGCATGTATGTACCTGCCCAAAGTCCTTCATAGAACTAGAGTATATATACACAAAGCAGTACATAACAACATCTGTTTGCAATAGCATGATTATAGAAGAGTTCTTTAACGAATTTTAAAACGGTTTAGTMGGCTCTGCTTGCGTGGAAATTTGTCGAAAAATCGCTTTAAAAGGAGCAAGTAAAACGTCAAACTACAATGTAAGGAAAAAAAGAGAAAAACATTGAAATAAGGCAGTCATGCTGACTTCGATAATGCGCGAATTACTATAGTAAATGCCGGAATATCTTAATGAAAACAGCAGCAGCTCAGAGGTTCTTCGTGCTACTCAGTTCTAGATACTTCCATCAGGTCTACTTATTATAAAATAACTATAACTGAAAACGATTCACTTTTTAAAAAAATGGGTTCCAAACGAGAAATGAAACATGACCACAGATGATGAAGGATACGAAATGATCACACAGCTGCTCATGAAAAAAAAATAAAATAACGTGGTCCAGATGGCATCCAATACTTGCGGGCACTTTTTCTGCACGATAAAAGATTCATTACACAAGTCAWTTCATCTAAAACATACTAGAAATGAGAACTTAGAAAAGGTATAGCTCTAGAAGTGACCAGCGTTTTACCTCRTGTGTCAGGAATGGTTTTATAATGGCAGTGAGGACCAGGGTTAGCCTAGTGATGAGTTTCTAAAAGCATGGCTTTGCTCTTTGCCCAGAAAATCTTCCTTAAAGTTGGATGCTTTTAGCAAACTAACTTATCATTTTCTCTTCAAAGTATCTTAATTGGTTTGAGATCTACTCAACAATTCTCACATATCTGACAAGTTGAAATATCACATGATCAGCGAATCAAAACTAGTAAAAGAGTACAAGACTCTCRTCCGTTGCTTTTTCCATGATTTCCCAAAGTGCCTTCAAGAGAGGAAGTAAGTTGTTAATCAAAATCTTATCACTGAATACGCACGACTTAGAGGATGTAATGATACGTTAAATTCCAGTTGCAATAAAAACTAAAAACACTATTGCTGTCCTCTATGAAAGGGATCAAATCTGTTTATATCTYAGTCATACTCCCTGAGCTTCAGTATAAATTATTTTGCACCCCGCGTAACGTGCATAGTCTGTTGTTGAGATAACTGCTGAATGGGAYAGCAGAGGAACAGTTATAAAACAGTTTCATGTAAAGCCACGTGCATATGAATTATCCTGTTTTCAGAACTTAGTCATTTCCTGGAATAGTATCTTGTAAATGATGTCCTAGACAACATCTCCCCTGGACTTGGCGAGTAGTTTTCATCAATCCGTGAAATACACGTTAGAGTACTACCGACTATATTGCTCTTTRTYGYGCGCGTTTTTMTTTGTCTTTTCGGTACTAAAATCGCGCATGATTACACTTTGACAATTGCACTTTGTTTATCAGTTTCTAACGAAAAACACTACAAGTACTGCGTTCCTTTTTACATTTGATTTTCACATGTTATTATAGTACTATCAGTTTATTATTGTCTCTTTCTACATGTGTATACAATGGTCTATTTTATTTAGGGATAAGTCTCGATAATAAATGAATTGCAGTATGATAGCAATGCTAAACTGGTCTTAATTACCTAAATATTTGATAACAGCACAGGTCAAGAGGTTTGCATCATAAATGTTTAGCATATGAATCGCGAGACCATCTTATCGGGCGGCAAATTAAATACTTATGTTATATAGCTTAGCTTTTAATCACGATATATTGTTGAGTGAGGTTTCCCACATCATCGATGCTACCGATGGACCTCTGATTAACAAACCCTGATAATTGAACGAGGACGGGGAGGGGGGCAGGCAGATTAGAGAGACTGGCACCACTGCAAAACCTCTTATTTAGAGGTGACTTAGGGATGGCATACCGAATTTATGGAAAGACAAATGATTAAAACTCAATTATTTTCAAATTACGTAACATCAATATCATAAGAAACAAGAGCAGAGATAAAATGAGTTGATAACGAATGCGTTTTATTTCTTTACAGTATATTACACTGGTATAAAATTATAAAACAATGGCATATTCGATGATTAGACGTAATCTGAAAAAAAGAATATAAGTGAATTAATACAGCTTTCACATATGGGAGGGGAGGGAGAGGCAGTTACCTTCCTTTCCATAGGCTTTGTACATTTCACTGCGCATGTTCTCGTACTCCGTAGAAGTTTGACGAAGTGTTTCTGGACGTTTTTGAGCGGGTTTAGTGGTGGAATTCTGACAAGAACCTAATAGACAAAATAATATAGCTGTCGAAGTTTTTAATCCTTCGTTTCTTTGAGAATAATGCTTTACCTTTTGAATCTGGCTGATAATACATTGACGTGCCAAGCATCGTCTCACTTCGTCTTTGCTTCGGAGTCCCGATCATGTTCCGATTCTCGTCGTTTGATTTCGACTTCGGTCTCTTAAACAAATCATTGGAGCCGTGACTTCCTGAACGATGTCGACGAACTGGACTCTCTAAAAACACACACAACGGCGAGTCAAATAACATTATATCTAAGCCCGTATATGCGTGCGGAGAAAAACTATAGTCTTCATGCGTGAGGATGATTTTGTTGTGGCGTTTGTTTGAGAGTTGAACTTGATACAAAATACGAAAGCTGTAGATTGATAGTTTAACGATGGAGTTAACACGAAAGAACATCACTTTACGATCCACACGTAGTCGGATCTTGGCGTAGGCCTAAGTCACGCGAGCTTTTAGCTGGACTATGGGTTATAAGATGTTTAAAATGTAATGAAATATAAAAATACGGGTAAACAAACCATTTTCTTTTTCTAAGSCATAGTTAACWCGGCCGGATGGTAGTTCTGTTRTTTGTAGAGAATTGTATAATGAGGGAATCCTCCCAACTGTCARTTTGACATTTCCATAGCAACGCTAGAAAAACATACAAAAACACAAACAAGTTTAGTATGTACTGTACCGACGATAAATTATTTCTTATTATAGTATGAGGATGTAGGATTCCACATGGAGATGTATAGGACTATACGATAGTCCTAATCCTCGGACATATACCGACCAMAGTACGATAACATATCGATCAATTCACGATACCTTAAGAGTATGTGCTGCATGTTCTTGTGTAGCGTTTCGAAGGTTGATGTTGTTGACTTCCATTATTCTGTCRCCCTGGTGTATCGTACCTTCAAGACCAGCAGCGCTTCCTTCTGCCTTCAACACAAACAAATAACATGATCGGAAATCAGCCAAGAGTACGATCGGTTGACGGAATACATCCGACACCTGTCCGAAGGTGTGCCGACTTTTTATGTTGCGGACGGATAGCATAGTCGTTCTTCATCTTTTAGAATGGAGTGACCACAAAAACAATGAGTATCCGCAAAACCACAAAACATTTCACTCATCACCTCCAAACGAAAGAAAAACTCGCCTTCTTAAATAATATTTAGTACATAAATGATTTAAAGCTATACATTATTTGTAAGTTTGCTCTTACCACGTAAGTCACAAATACGCCATGACCATCTCTATCAAATGAATCAAAAACAAAGCTCATTATTCCCATGCAATGGTCATTAAWGACTGAGATTGAAATGATAGCACTGAGTACCTTCTAGCGAGAATACTAAGTCCAAAGCAATCACTGATGGACTTATTGATACGAACTTTTATTAGAGATTTGGGATCTGCAATAGAATTAACAAAATTGATCGAGTTTTGTCTTTCGCATAACATATACATGTTCTTTCGTATTTCATATTACATGGTCGCTCTACGAATTTTATCTTCTCGTGTTTAAAATCTATCACTGTTCGCTACGCTCACTCAGTGAGAGATCTTTTTAACACTCGAAGATAAAATCCGTATCTCCGCGCGCCCATGTAATATCCTCTATATATTCAACAATAATTACAAAAACTCTTTTTAAAGAAATGTGCGAGATACAACATGAGACTCGTTACTGTTTTACTTTGATGTTCAGTCAGATAGTCACGTGATTTCACAAGCAGTCATGTGCTTAGATCTTACTTTCTTTCGATGTGAAAATCTTTTCCGGGTCTTCTCGAAAAACCAAAAGTCTCACTGGAGATGGAGCGACTCGTATCGTGGATACGGCTTTGTCATGAGACATGTCTTTTAAACATACACCATTAACCTTTGATAAAAGAAAAACTATGAAGACCTCTGAAGCTTTTACGTCATATACCGTATACGCAATGCATTGTAGGATATGTTTGGGACAAAACATCATGGCGGATTTCTTTTGTTTTCTCTAGAAACTGATCCCAAAATGCATTGCAAATCAAGTAGTGACGTAAAAGGTTCAGAAGTCTATTAGCCCTCACAGAACAACTAACTTGTCTTTTATGGCTGAAAATCTTTATTGTAATATATGCATGCGTTTAGAAAAACGTCCTTATCAATACACCCTTTTAATAAGTCCCGAGGTATTGTATTCTCCGCACATGACGTCAAATATATTCTTTTGAATTCCTTTTGTATTGTAAAAATTTCAAAAGAATAAATTTGACGTCAAGTGCGGAGAATTCAATACCTCGGGACTTATTAAAAGGGTGTATAATATAGGGACATCCTCTATACACAGCTCTTCAGTTCTTATTTTTGGGTAAATGATTAAGCCAAGGTTGAGGTGAAGCTTTGTGGGAATGTACGAATGAAAACTGCTAGTCATGCCGCTTATTTGGACCTTATCGCGCTTCTAGTACTGATTTAGTGTAACTAAAGAACTGGGAACGAGGTTGCTAGGCTCCCATAATTCCAATGTGTCTGACAATCATTCCCAATGGATAGTARTTGAATTGGGTCATGGATATAACTTACTTCAAGGATTTGATCGCCTGGTTGTAGTCGTCCGTCTGATGCCGCACTACCGTTGGGGTCGATGTACTTAATAATGACACCTTTCTAAAACACAAAAGAGCATCCTTTGCATTCACATGAAATGCAACGGTGAAGTGCCTGAGCAGCTTGTGCAACTAAAACTATAAAAATGCAACGCCTAAGTGGCTGTGCTACTTAATCAAGTAAAATTACAGAATGCGACGTTGAAGTAGCTCTGCAGCTTACGTAACTTAACCTATAAAGGCTGATTTACACGGCACGATTGTCTCGTGCGATTTGTAGTATACGACTTGAATCGCGCAGTGTAAATGCCCCCACGACTTGTCTACAACAGTCGTACACAACCTACGACTTGTAGTAGGGTTTTGAACCACTGCTTAAAATCCTACGACTTGTAGTAGGAAAATCRTATACTAMAMGTCGCGCGCGACAAATCGTACCGTGTAAATCAGCCTTAAAATGCGACGTTGAAGTGGCTCATGCGCAAATATACTCTTGAAAAACGTGAAGTTTTGAAGCCATTGCAACTATATATATTCAAACTGTTAACTAAAATACAAATTACCAAGTATGTGTCTGCTCCACCGACGATCTGGACACCAAGTCCTTCAGTTTCTTTCTTTATAATAATTGTCGTCTCGACGAAATCTTTTATCTGCGTCAATAATTCCTTTTCTAAAAAGAAAAGTCAACAAATTCAACCATTATAAGACCACACACGAAAGCAATCTCCGCAGTTCAACCGAGCGTTACCTGTCCAGAGAACGAACCTGTCCAGAGAACGATTCTGTCTCTTTATATGATCCTTATAAACTGAGCCCGAAAAATCTTTCCATGTTATCGATAGCTGCACATTTGAATTGCTTCTGAGTACATTTTGTATTTTGATTTACAGTACAAGTTTGTACACATTCTGTTATGATTTGACTAGTTTTGTGAGGTCGTTTCTAAGAATACAATCTCCGTGTYATTGAAAATGTCAAAAGGAAAGTCAGATCAGTTTGCGCAATAAGCTGATCAGATATAAACTATAAACACGAGTTTCTCAGTAATCTAAAACGACTTTGGATATCGTAAATGTGTGGAAAGAATAATTTTATTCTGATTTACTGAAGTTTATCGCTTCTACAGACGATTTCTAGACTGACACTGGATAAAACTGAGACGAAAGTCAGTTCTGCATATGTCATCACCTAGCGTTTAATAATTGAAATATATCCTTGTGGTGTACATTATTTACGCACTCAGTCAACTCAGAACCTAAATCAATAACTAAAATACATATCCTTTATATGATACATAGAAAGTCGAAAGTCAAAAGATGAAAGTATCGTTTAGATTAGTACATCACCTCAAAACTGCTTGTTAAATCTATTACAAGTTCTTATAAATAGTGACATAAGAATTGCCRGAATTCTAGCATAATTTGAGCTGTTTTTTAAGCAAGTGTAACCACTTTTGGTGCAAAATTAGCCTAAGAGAACCATACTTTACCTTCCACAGGGCATTTCCRCTCGTTTTCGTGGGAAAATATCCCCATCGGTAGGTCGTCGTCTTCGACACGGCGGTAAAACTGTCCGTTTATCTGCCCTAGTCTTGTTGTTTGATTTAATTGAATTGAATGTGTTGTTCCTCGCATTGTGGTATTGATTTTGTTTACAATTCGGTTTTTGTTATTGACAAGGCTAGAAATACCGTTGAAACTACTGACAACCGCGGGAGGACTGGGGAAGAGTCGAGCGAGGGACTGGTCTTCTTGCTTCCGATTCGCTTTTGTTCTCGGGGCGCTGAATAAACAATGAATGCGATACTAAAATMAATTTATGAAGAGGAATTTTTAGTCTATTGGAATTGGTCCCCGTCACCCTAATCACGACCGCAATGCATTGCGCAATGMGAGCTGAGCCCGTTTGGAAAAGGTCAGCTTTTGTTTATTTGGTTTTATTCGCATTGAATTCTATCTAAAGTGCGATCTCCTTTTTGCAAAAAAAGTATTAAAAATCCTAAAATTAGCCGACCTCCCGGGCTCCTGATTTTGTTTGGGAAGACTGGTAACTAACCGGAAGTTTCCTAATATTTAAAAATAACAAATCACTTCCGGTTTCTATATTAAGAGCCGGCGAGCGCGGTTACCTGCACAATCATACATGTGAGCACTGGAGGACGAACGGGAGGCAATTTCCTCGAAAAAAGACATCMAAAAAAATGGCGTCTAACAACTGTAACTCTTCAAATCATTGGCCAGAAGACGTAGGAATTCTTGCATTAGAAGTTTACTTYCCAAAAACGTTTGTGTCTCAAGAGAAATTGGAGGAATATGACGGGGTTAGCAAAGGAAAATACACCATCGGTCTGGGACAGCGAAAGATGGGATTCTGTGGAGATCGAGAAGACATCAATTCCCTCGCATTAACTGTCGTTCATAAYCTTTTAGAGCGGAATTCAATTGACCCCAAGACGATAGGAAGGCTTGAAGTCGGGACAGAAACTCTTATTGATAAATCGAAGTCKGTCAAAACCGTACTGATGCAGCTTTTTGAAGAGTCGGGTAACAGTGAAATAGAAGGGGTTGACACTACTAACGCTTGTTATGGTGGGACACAGGCATTGTTCAACGCCTTGGCCTGGGTAGAAAGCAGTTCTTGGGACGGTAGGTTAAATATCTTTTTGATTTTCTGACAAGTTCACTGCGAAATCAATTTTGACGATTTGTGCACAATATCAAAACAAAATCCATGCAAGACTTGCATAAGTTTAGATACATTCTTATACCGAATGTAAGCATATCTATACGATGTATTCAGTAGTGTACGATTGGTTTGTTTCATGCCTCTTTCACAACTTTCAACCATAATTTGCTTTGTTTGGACAATGTGTAATAATATTCAGCTAAAATATACATGCAACACATACATAGCATTGTACAGTTATAGTATTTCAAAGCAAACTTGTAAGACAGAAGCGTTTTTGTCATTTTCAATCCTCGATAAATTGCGTTTTTGTTGGCAGCTGCTTGTTACTTAATGATTTATTGCATTAGGTGTTAAATAGGTTTGTCAATATTTGATTGGATGTGTCTTAACCCTTGTGTTTCATTGGGGAAATCTTTCATCATCAAGGGATATTTGTACATCATTAGCATGGCATAAATCCACAAAGTTAAAACTTTTGTTGTTAAAGAAATCATTTATTCAACATGCAATTATATACTGGGTATTCCTTAAAACTCTTGTCTACATAATTGCAAAAACTCTGTTTTAGACAAATAGAAACTTTTTATTTTTTTTGCAAAAGAAATGGATTAAAAAGACAATAAATACAGATGCTAAATTCCTGACAACCTCAATTAAACATGTATTGTAATTGATTTCAGGCCGTCTTGCAATTGTTGTCGCAGCAGACATTGCTGTCTATGCTGCAGGAAATGCAAGAAGTTCTGGTGGAGCAGGCGCTGTTGCTATGCTTATTGGACCAAATGCACCAATTGCCGTTGAACGAGGTAATACCAACCTGTAATACACATAAACATTAACAGTTTCAAATTATTTTATTCAGCTTTATATTTTTTTCTTCTAGGTCTCCGTGCAGTCCACATGCAACATGCCTATGATTTCTAYAAGCCAAACATGTCCTCAGAGTACCCAGTTGTTGATGGGAAGTTATCCATAAAATGTTACTTTACCGCTATAGATCATTGTTACTCAAGGTATAAAGACAAACTGAACAAGAAAGAAGGCAAGATATCTTCATTAAATGACATCGATTACATGGCTTTCCACACTCCATTTTGTAAGATAGTRCAGAAGAGYCTGGCTAGGATGGTKTTGGCTGATTTCTTAGCTGAGACAAATCCAGAGCAGAATTTCAATGGTTATGCTAGTCTACTAGAGTACAGGTATGGTACTGGTGTCWTTTTGTGTGGTTTAATGCTTATACAACATTTAAAATTCAGGTGCAAGGTATAAAATTCATGTGCAAGGTATAATCCAACTGAAGCTTAATCCTGACTGAAAAACATTTTATAACAGATCAAGCATTAAAGCTGTATCATGTTTACATTACTGTCATTTTGACTGCCAACAATCCATTCCCAAACCTACCCACTACTTCTCAGGCAGTACCAGCACCAGAGAATTACTTATTAACATAATATTGATGTTTTGCAGAGGTCTCACACTYAATGAAACACTAGAAAATGAAAGYGTTGCTAAGGACATTGAGCGGGCATCAGTAAAAGCCAGTCAAGATATCTTTAATGCTAAAGCATTACTATCTCTCAATATTGCTCGAGATGTTGGAAACATGTACACTCCATCTTTGTATTCTGGACTTGTTTCACTACTTTACAGGTACACTGTCATACTTAAAGAATCATAACCACCTGCCGTACCTTGCAAACCGAAGCGCCATTTCAGGTGGACTCGAAAATGGCGGATTCGTAGGATTTCTTAAAGTGAGCGCAAATCGTCTTCCATCCTTACAGTTTGGACAGAAATACCTTTAACTAAGTACCTCACAGGTACTATCATCTATAATTTATTGTATGCTTGACGCATTTAAACGTATTTAAACAATAATGCGAGCGTGCAAGGTACGACGGGTGGTTATGATTCTTTAATTTTATAAATGTTATGCATATTTTTATGTGCGGAAATCTAGTGGGTTTCCTGTGTAATGTCTAATATTTAATATTTTCACAACAGCATCCCTGCATCTGATTTAGCTGGTAAGCGTATTGGAATGTACTCATATGGCTCAGGGYTAGCATCAGCTATGTACTCTTTACGTGTTTCTATGGATACCAGCCATGGATCTCCATTGGATGTTCTCTTGACTTCAGTTCAAGATATCCCAGCACGCCTTGCAGCAAGAACTGAAGTCTCACCAGAAGACTTTGTAAAGACTCTTGAAATCAGGGAACAGGCTTATCACTCAAGTCCCTATACTCCTTCTTGTTCATTAGAGAGTCTCTTCAAAGGAACTTATTACTTGAATAATATTGATAAAATGTATAGAAGATCATATTCAAGAATGAATGAAGACTATTGATWGACATGACTGGCAGGTAATTTATTTTGTGCCAAAAAGGTGCATGCTCCTGTCATATTTCAGGTTAGTTATGCATAAATGTTATGTATATATAACAATGTTGTATGTATTATTAATATTTATTATATAGATGATTTCTAACGTGTGTTCTGATTGGCCAAAAAAGTGTGGTTTATGAGAGTATAAACTACGATTGTACGTGAGCGATTTTTGAAAAAGGCAACAAAATGGATTTTTGCTTAAGTTTTGCTCAAAATCTATATAATAAAACAAATAAATAAGTCTCAGCCTGTAGTTTATACTCTGATAAACGCATGCTTGGCATTTGAAACACACTCAAAAATGTCCAGAAGCACTCACTTTCAGCTGCCGTGCTTCTTGACATTTTCTCGTGTGTTTCAAATACCAAGCGTGCATTTATCAGAGTATAAACCACGGCTGAGCCTTATTTATTTGTTAAATATTAACATTTTCATCAAAATGCTTAATGACACTAAAGGTCAAATAATATAATTGAAAACTTAAGAGAAAAATCTACTGTATTATTGTTCTTGAAATGCTGTAATTTATTCTCATATTTTCTATATTTTTAAACATCGTTTTATTTGTATTTAGTTGAGGAAAGAAATAAATAGCTATGATATCACAAACAGTTTTAAAGCTTTTTGACAATCTRTTTTTATTAGTAACAATCAAGGTCATTTTATGTGGTTTTATCCACTAGTTAAGATAAAATACAAGAATATATTATAATCTAAATCTATTTTATGGCTTGCACCCTGTGCTATAACAATCACTAAGAGCACAGGCAGACCAACCATTAAGACACAGGCAGACCAGCCATTCTTATTCRGTATCTTCCAGTCTCAAGTTGCCGCTCCCTCTAATGTTAACTGAATTGCTGCTATCTTTGTCTTCGAATCGAGTGTACKGATTGTTTCTCCCCAGCACAGAAAATCTAGATCCCTCACAGTGATCTGAGCTCTCTGGGTAATTAATATTATCAATATGGCTTAGCTTGACACGAGGCTCATACAAAGATCTTTTCTTTCGTTCCCATCGTTGGTAGACGACAAAAATGACGAGAAAACAACATAACACCACTAGAATGACTAGAATCACAATTACTGGTGCAAATATAGTATTATTTGCTGCTGAAAGAAAAGCAATGTAAACTGGTTTAGTGGAGATTTAAACTAAGTTGATTGATTTGTTAGTTTATTGATTGATTGTCTTGCTTTGTAGACGCTTTTTATTTGGGGTGGTTGAGAAGGGTAACAGGACGATTCGGTAGTAGGTTGATTAGATCGATGCTTGTGTTGAATGAATGATTTGTTGGTATGACTGGTGGTACATTGGTTGTTCGGGGTAATTTCGAGTTAGGTGACTGTTTATTGTGCTGGTAAGAAGTTAGGTAATTGAGTGTAAATCCGAGGTTCCTGGGTTCGAATCCGGCCCAGCGAGGTCGGGTCTTCCTCCCGGAATTACCTCCTTCTAAGCACTATAACTTTCCCTCATTTATATATCATCATCGAGTTTGCCGGATTAGCTCACTAGTGGCAATTAATTTATTTAAAGATAGAGTGTAAGGAATTACCTCCTTCTAAGCACTATAACTTTCCTTCATTTATATATCATCATCGAATGTAAGGTTGGGTACCTAGTATTAAAATAATTCATACTGTAGTTAAGAGCCGCTTACCTTGGCTGCCTGTGGTTTTCTCATCTCGACTAGCGGCCACTGATGTTTTAACATGGTCGAAAGGTTTCAATGTTATTGGGTATGTGATCACGTGTTTCCCATCAGTCACCGAGCATACAAAGATTCCATAATCATCTTTGGTTGTTGTGTGAATTGTAGCTACATTGTCAATGACAGCTGTAGTATTTGAGGCGCTGATTAGACGGCTGTCCTTTGTCCAACTGTATTCGATTGGTCTAGAACTTATTGCAAAACAAGCAAGTATGATCTTGATTCCCATGTCAGCTTGAACAAGTGAAGTCATTTTCTCTGGCACGAATCTCAGTTTTCCTGGATAAAAAAGAGAATAAGTTTGCCTGGACATAAAAAGAGGATGAGTTTTCCTGGACAAAAACAACGACTTTCTCTGGACAAACGGGAGGAGTGTCTAATCAATCTTTTTTTTTAATTTTCCTATTTCAAGTTCCTTCAGTCTCTTTTGATGTTACAAGCGAAATGAACCAAATAATACTAACCAACTATGTGCACTTAATCTACTTATACCTGTTTGTTCAGGACAATTCATGATTTGGCGCAACTCAATGCTATACGAATCAGATGCTAATCCTCGATACGCACGGCAAATATACGTCCCAAAGTGCTTTGCAGTCTTGGGTTTAACAATCAACACATTGCTAACTTGATTAACCACGTTCTTATCAATGACGTCAGATCCATTCATACTCCAGCTGTATTTGATTGGCGTGGAGCCTGTTGCATAGCAACTGATTGTGACGTTATCACCGATGCAAGCTTTTACCAAAGGTTCCATTTTTTCCTTTGAGATCTTCACAGAAGGTCCATTGATATCTGATACCATTGAAATTGAAAAGTGATTCAAAAATGAATGAATGAATGGATGGATGGGAGGGAAGGATGGATAGACTCGGAATATTGGGACTGGTGAATGATTGGATGAATCGAAACCAGAAGATGAATATATACCTTCCAAGTTGTGACCAAATACTCCAACTCTCATCGTCTTGTGGCCGACATATCCAACAGGGATAAAGCGAACAAATCGTGCTACAGTCGGTGTGATGTACTGGACGAGTAAAATATTTCTGTACTTGCTATTACCTGGAAAATTCTAAAATGGACATAACATATGATGGCGAATTACTGTATATGTGGGGTGTCGTAGCTATATTCCAGAACAAAAATAGATTTCCAGCAGGAAGGCTATGACTGTTAGTAGGAATGGACTTTGATCCGTGTTTATTTTTAGCTATAGCCGTACTATTTGGTTTACAACCTCACTAGAATTTCTCCCCCACCTCATCTTCTCACTGCGGAAGAAAAAAACTATACCTTGTCTTTTCTATTTTCTTGATAAACCTTCCACGTCGTACTGTCGTTGGAAAAACTCAGTTTAAAGGAGGTTACCCATTCGCCATGTTTAGCGCTTCCTTGCGTTCCAATAGCACATGTGCTATATGGTTCCCCTAGGTCAAGCTGTAGGTAATCGTTAGGGTCATTATTTGTAATAGGGGCCCATCCAATCACAGAGAAAAGTCGCGCTCGCCATGGCTGGTAACGGCAGTCGTAGATGTTCGATGCAGAGTATGAGCTGTCTGGTATGTACTTGGGTGTGGGGTTTTGTATTTGCTTATTACATGCTGATAGATACAGAAAAAAGTCTTACATTAGGGAATTCAAACAGAAATCGAGTAATAAATATACTTTTCCAGATCCCAAAAACCGCGACTCTCATAGTCTTGTGTTTATGATAGGTTACTGGAACAAATCGTATATATCTTGCCAAGACGCTAGCATCAGCAAACGAGTTTGTTACCACAGAAGTGTCATCAGAGTTCGCTATGAATACCTGAAAGGAATAACCAAGCAGTGATTTTATCAATTAGTTAAAAAGTTTTTGTCTTCTATATTAGTTCATACAGCCTGCTCTATTTAATTCGTAAATTGTCAAAAAAAAAACGACGTTTGAACAATTACAAGGAACTAATCAAGGTTTTTTTTGTTTTGTTTTTTTGAACTAATCAACGTGTTTCTTCAGGGGGGGTTGAGGACACTCAGAAGGGGGTGCACTCAGAAGAAAAGGCACAAAAGTTGAAAGTATTAAAGGGAACAAGGCCTCTGGAAGGTTTGTGCACCCCCCCAACCCCTACCCTCCTTCCCGGATCCACCATCTGGATCACCTCCCTGTCTCTTAAAAAGTGAACCAAACTAGACCTTCTCTTTTCCTTTTTGCTTGTATGTTTCCCAYTTTTTCCCGTCGAGAGAAAACATTAACTTGAACGTTGTAACCCATTCCATGTGAGTGTAGGCTGTGCCCTGAGTCTTCACCCCACAAACTGTGAATGGTTTGCCCAGGTCAATCTGAAGGTAATCACTGGAGTCGTTATTTCTCTTTGTAGCCCATGGTCTGCTCTGCCCAAGTCTCCCGTACCAAGGCATATACAATGAACTATAGTACGATGAAGCACTGAAGCTAGAATCCGGGATAATGTCTTTGTTTTCGACTCCAATCGACATTTCCGAACAATCTGAAAAGACAATGAACACCATTGGAAGAGTCATGCCTAAATCGTTTAGTTCTCCCTGTCTTTTATCTTTGCACGTTTTCATAGATCTTCAATAAAATTAATGGTTATAGAACAGTTGATAAGTCGCTGTTTACTAGTTCCGTTTGCTATTAAATATGCCCACACTTAAATGTAAACGCCTTTGAGTCATTACAGTCACCTATAACACCACCATACCGACGTCTAAGTCCACTAAAATCTATTGCTACAACAGCTAGTACGGACATCCAAAACTGTTTGTTATGGTTCTGGTACATACCCAATGCTTGCCATTGTGTCTGTAATGGTCCTCCCCCTCGAACTGTCGATACCAATTGGTTAAGTACCAAGTAAGCAGAAAGTGTCCAAACTAACGAAGCTCTCTTTTCCATGACCAATTGGTTTAATGTCTGTAAAGCGCAATATATAGCTTTATATTCTCATATAAGTATTATGCTCTCCGGTGAAACCCAAGCACTTTGAATATGCCGTGACCTTTTGAATATGAATGACAATAGTCTAAAGTTTCAGTTTTGTTTTAACGATTTATATCGTTTTTATAGCGCTTTTAATCTCATTTTCCTGTTATTTACTAATTTTTGGGATTTGTTACTACGTTAATAACCAGACTTTTTCATGAGATATAACTTTCTTGTACATGTCAAAAGGACACGACCGAGCCGTTCTGCAAAAAAACCGTTCTGCATGATTTTTTTAGCTGGCTGGGAAAAAAAAYCCACTTATTAAGCTCTGGCTGGTACGTCAGAATACTCATATCTTGCTGGCAGTTTGATAAATAATTTTCCCCTGGCAAATTTTCAAGTGTATTTCACGGGAAATGTCCCCTTCTGGCAATTAAATTCTTGTTGAGTCGAGGTACTCAGCAAGAATTACGTAGCTTGGTCGGCGGAAAGTCACGCAACGATAGCGCTGTGTGATCGAAAGAAAACACGGCTGCGAGTAGGCTTGACAGGTCACCGCCTCGACTCGTTTGCCAGTGAGTTTGAATAAATTATTATTGTGTGGGAGATTATAAAACTGTCATGTTTATTTGCCAAAGGAAATGCAAGTGCTAAAATAGTCCAGGCGCACCATGGTAATCTTCCTTCCTAGTGTTATCGCTCTCTGGCTTTTTGACATTTTTGCAATTTTGTCTTATGTAAGGATGTATGCCACTACACAAAGTAACTTATATACTATAAGTTTCCTAAAGTTCGGAAARCTCGTCATCGGATCATCGATGTGATCTAACATTTTTTTTACCGAAGGAAATATTCTTTTCTTTTATATGAAATTACAAGCTGCGTTTTATGAAAAACCACATGGCTTGAGAAAAGATTTCCGGTCGTTTTTCCTTTGTTCTTGACGACATTCCTTGGATGCCGTACAACTTTTCAAGAGGTCTAACAAGTCCCACTAATAGAATGTTTAGATTGTACTACTCATCGATACTCAAAACGAGTTTGTAAAGAAAACCTCTCAAAGCAGCATAACTAAAAAACGTTGTATTGCCATATTGCCTATATACAATATTGATAAGGGATTATTGAACGAGGAAAGTTTCTCAATAAAGTTTAGAAAGTCAGCTAACTCATGTGGTAACTGGATGTTCTTTTTATGTTAAATCAGATCTTGAATCTGCTTTCAGTATAAAGTGCAAACAGAGCAGTATGCATTTCCATGTTATCTGTTTTTTGAGTGAAGTTCCGCAGAACCGTTTCTGGACCCTGTCATGGTTTATATTTTGGAGGTCTTCGTTCTCTTTGATATTGCTTCAATATTAGTCTCTCATGGCTAATGGATTGGCAAAAAATGAACCAAAAACGAACGTGCTATTTGACCTATTTCCACACTCGAGCATTTTTAGCCTGTGTACATCCGTTCCCACCCCTCCCCCCTACCGGGTAGGGGGGAGGGGTGGGAACGGATGTACACAGGCTAGAGCATTTTTTGCTGTGTTCATTAACCGGATCACTAAACATCCAAGTGGTCACGTGGTCCTTTCTTAGTGACTGGTACAAACGTGCCCGGATATGTCAGAGTAACAATATCCTTGTTACAAAGAAGCGCAAAGAAGTCCTGTCATTCTGATTCAACTCTATTTGGTTTTTACATAAGAATTTTAAGGTAAGAATTGTATATCGATTTAGTATCAATGATACTACAATCTATATAAAACAAGAATTCCATGTGGCTTCTCGAACTAGACCAATCACAGTAGTTATTAGTTCTCACATGAACAACACTTCAAGGGGAGTGAAATTTTGAAATCTTGTGTTAGTAGTATTTCTGTAGWCTGTWAAATTTCAGTTATGTTTTATAACYTTGTGTAATTAACTTTGCTTTTGTTGGATTGYATTTTGTAAATAGTTAAACAAGAATGAAGGTGTAGAAAGAGAGACGAGGGCGACGAGCAACGCACTTCTTCCRTCTTTGAAAGGTAAATTACGAATACGCGACATTGTACTGATTCTTGTTCCGACATTTTCAAAGTTTARATAAAAACGCCGATCGATATTCATGCACAAAAGTGTTAGTCGTGAACATAGTTTATTCCTGTTAGTATATTTAGTTAGTACAGTGATGCTCACTATCCCGCGTGTTCAGTTTTTCGCGCTCAAAAACGCAAACGTGCTCGTGTGTTGTGAATGAAAACAACTATTGGGCATTCTTTTTGAAAGAATTCATTAGATCCAAGTTAGTGTCTCAGACTTTCTTAGCGAAATTCTTACCGCGCTACAGCATTTTTTAGTAGACTGGTAAAGACGGTAAAATGTTTGTTAAAACTTACTGGGCCGGAGTTTGGTAGACAGGCAGGTTGCCTGGTATCCAATGATGATTCTGTGATTCTCTTAGGATAAAAATACTTATAAGTAATAAACATTTCTTGTTGTAACAAACTCCTTCGCAAATGTTCCGGCATTAAAGCCCATGAAACGAGCATGRCACCGAATTACAGTGGTCCAATTCATATTAATGTTTTTGTATTCAATAGGACAATTTAGTTAGTCTACATTACGTAAAAGCTACGTGTGTTTTCGTTTTGGCCAAAGGCAGTCATTGCACCTTTCTTTATTTAGAAAACTATCATCGACGACAGGAAACAATGTGTAATCGTTRCTAAAGTTTACCATCGATCTTGTTCAAAAATGCTTGACTTCAAAAATATGCCATAGACCCAGTTTAGTACCATCCTACTTGCCCCAACTTTCAACTGGACAGGTTTGTCAGTTACAAAGACACGCAGTTGTTCAACATTATCATTTAAATGAAAACTTAGAAAACATTCCTTTAATGTTAAACCAGAGAGATAAGTCAACTAATGCGTTTTCTAGTTTGCCCTCATTCTTTTTCAGTTTTTTAATACTCATATCTTTTATACTGATGAACAAAATGCTGTATTTTTAGCTTAAGGTACCGTTGCTCTTGAGTGCTCGATAAGCATGTAATGCCTTTTGTAGGCTGCGTGCGAATAAGCGGGAGTACCTATACTGATCCTTTTTTCAAAATAGCCACTCTTCACTCTATTTCTATGCTACCTGACATATATATTTTTGTAGCGCCTGGCTGATTTTTTTTTAAAAGACCGCACTCTGCCCCTCAACCGAGGATGCATGTCAAATATGTCGGAGGCCGAACAGAGACACGCGCGTTAAAAAGAGTTTACTAATTAGCCCGCCAACCCTAAACTGGTTCGATTTTGCAAGTTATTTCAATTTAACCCTTAGAATGTTGCGGTTTTGCAGAATCAACGCTCTTACTTTTTATCAAGGTTTCAACGTAGGAAATACCTGAGATGCATGTTTTGCAAAGTGATTTTAGGAGTTGTCAGATTGTTTACCTACTGCATTTAATCTCTAAATTATAATTGAAAGTGTCCTTTGTCTTGTAAGCTTTCACAGCTTGATCAAACAATGGTGACTGTTTGAAGAATCGAAACACAAAAAGTAATTTTTCCCGAACTTTTCATACAAATATCTTTATCTTTTGAGTGTAGTAATTTTTGACCAAATTGCGAAATATACACCCCATGTCGGTACACTAGCAGCTCGTAGTGGGCGACTAAAAGTTCGGTCAGACCAAACATGAATGAAATTTATTATAAGAATGAAACAAACTTTGTCTGCTTTGTTTTCTCAGCCTACCTGTCTGATTGGACGATTTATTCTGAATGCACGCATTTTGGCGCGCGCACGTAAAGCATTGCCGGCTTCAGTTAAGTGACTATGGCCCGGGTCGCGCAGAACAATTCTGTTTAGTTTRGCACTAACTGTCAAAATTCTGTCTGTTTTGAACGTCATCAGAGTAAATCTAAAGCTTTTACTTAAATTTTACAAGGCTAATGTTTTCACTGTATTCGGCTGTTTTTTCGACTGCTACACTGGCTTAAAATGTCCGACTAGTATCAGTTTTGATGACTCGTTCGTAAAATCATCAAACTTCTGTCATACTGAATTCCTYCTTCTTTTTTCTCATGTTTGCGGTGTAACTGTTAAGAGCGCTTTATAGAAATCCTTYCTGAAATGTATTTCTTTAAAAAGCTTGCCGGCTTARKAAGAATAAAGTTACTTTGAAACAGTGTGAACGCGCTGCTAGTGAAAACATACCCATTGCTGTTACCTACGTCATCTATGTTCGCATGTGCTTAAGTTGAAAACAATTTGAAAACCCCTTCACCTTACATGTAACAACTGAAGAAACATTTTCACTGTTATTTTACATGTTATRATATTTTAATGTTGACATATGATTGACATCTAAACTTCATTGGCTTCGTAGTTCTCTCTCATCCTTTCGAGGAAAGAAGTGACCAGAGGTTCCAATCCATCTTKGAATGTTATTAGTATTTTGATCTTGTGTGCTCTAGCGGCCACTTTTCGATCCCCCTTGCTCCATTTTGCCTGTTCCAGTACCTCACTATAGATAAGATACTGCGTGAGCTTTTATGCCAGATAAGGTTTACTTAATTAATTAGTAATTAAAGTCTTACCATTCAGCATTGATTATTTTGTCATCGTCCATTAATGGTGAAAGGATGGACGCTATGTCCCTATTAACAACAGCTTTAGCTCTTAAGAATCTGTCAACTATCTCGAGGCAGTTCTGGTCTTTTACATTCTTGTTCTGACGTTTTWGCGTGTAGACTTCACCAACCACTAAATCGTTTGTTTTAAAGAACACCATCCCTACWGCTCTGACTCTTCTTCCAACAGTAGCCTCTGGCTTTTCTTTAATAGATATCTTCATTGCTCAATTTCAAATGCTACTATACACTGCAGAAAATTCCAGGTCGATTGGCAATGACAGGAGGCGGTGGTCCATATCATGAAAGGTCAAATAAATCCTTTTATCAATATTATTACCATAAACCGGAAGCTGAGAATTATCAGTGTATTCCCTAATGAAATCATTCAGTTTAGTTTTTTAATAGAAAAACAGTTCACTTTCCGGCGTCCACCATGAAATGCTACTATGATTGTATCCTTAGGTTTCTTTTAGTGATTGTTCGTTTGAAACTATGTGTTTTTTTTTCTGTAGGCATTTTTCTTCAAACGTTTTAATTGTTAAAGGATGATCTGAGAAGTTTCTATTTTCTGATCAAAATGTYATTCTTTGCGTTTGTTTGTTTCTAAATGTGAAGAGGAAAGAATTGCCATCGTACACCCTGGCATCATCCATTCTCTATTTCCCGCCAAACGTAATTGGATAAACAGTGTGACTCAACTGTTTACTTTGGTATAGTAATGCCATTATAACTTTGTATTTTTCTTTATCTTCCAGTGATTGACCGTTGGACATATCTATCTCTTGTTGACGCTTCAATACACCTTCGTTAGAGGTAAGCTTTTATTCATTGTAACAGTCATCTATTTGCTTGCTTCACCTCCAAACGCTAAAGTGACTTTTTTTTCTAAAGTTTTTAAACTAATRTTTTTCCTCCATGGCTCTTCAAAGATCGTGAATTATACATTATTGTTCCTTAGAAAAARCCCTTAGTACCCTTGACATACGCCTATTTTTACGTGATCTCAAACAATCCCGTGACATATTTATGACAATTTTATCGGTTTTTTGATTTTGGTATCATACGAAGGCTTGGAACAAGAGCWACATTTCTATAAAATCAAAAGTWAAAAAAAAAGATTTTACACTGAAAATCCAAGAAAAACGCATTTTAGTCCGGTATAAAGAAGCCGAAGTGATCTGTCAACGGGGTTTTCACGCTGTGCTCTCCGAGCTGCCCATACAAGGAATTGTCATAGCAAAAGCGTGACAAACTGGACTTGAAAGAATTTACTTCGACCTTTATTAGGTCTCTAGCTTTATATAGCCTTATTTCACGCGTTTCTATAAGGGTCATGTTTAGGTCACGTAAGCGTAGTAATTACATTTGCATACAATTTCAATAGAACGGAAATTGCGATGACAGATTTGCATCTTGTGTCAATAAACAACAGCGGGATAGCTGAACTCTTTGAAGGCGTTAATCTCGATTTTTGCTCTGCTTTGCGAAGTTCCTGGAACACCGGATTTCAACCAATAGCGCTCAAACTTTGCACACTTGTTGACGTATAACTCATTACAAAGAAAGTGTCTCATTTTTATGATATCTTGTCGCGTTCTGAATACTCCAGTTTCGAATTCAAAGCGAATAACCGCTGTTTTACTTGACAGCAGATTCTATTACGCAAAGAACTTACCAAAGACAAAAAAAGCACGAGAAAATGTTATCAATACAATAGAGCGCTAAGAATCTACATTTTCCCCGAGTTGAGGCTAATAAACTGTAACCGCCTTCGTATAAAGCACAGTTTGGTCTCCAAAAGGGTGTCTCATTATTTTTGATTACCGCGTTTGCTGTAGAAATATCCGCTTTTCAACCTTTTCAAGTTGAAAGACGTAATTATTAGCGGTTTTTTACAAATCTTGCTATAATACTCCAGTTTCGAATTCATAGCGAATAACCGCTGCTTTATTTGACAACAGATTCTCTTGCGCAAAGACCTCACAAACACAAAAGAGAGCAGGAGAAAATGTCGTTCTTACAATAGACTTGAAAATTTGCATTTTCCCCGAGTTGAGATTAACCCTGCATTCTCTTAAGACCTAAGGTATGAGCAGGGTTAGCACAATGAAATCCGGTGTTCCTGGAACTTCTTAAAAATGAGCGGTCAAAAATAATAGAATACCCATTAACCAACCGATTCACTCTTATCAAAGAGTAGTTACATATTTACAATCTCTATTTATTCAGCTTTTAGAAAATGTATTACTGAGGTATCTCTATTAGTTAGCGTGCTGCGAGTGGTCGCKAAGGTCCCTGATACCTCGTCTGCGCGCCTCGAATTAGGCTCGTATTTCTGTTAAAAAGCATTATTTTGGCTCAAAATTTAGTAATGATCCTTTAATTTAGATGTGCTCTTGCGGAAAATGATAACTTTTCGCCAATTTGGCCTCTAAATAGCATATTTAGGATATCACGTGATCATAGCAAATCGAGAATTCATTTCGTCTTGAATTATTTCGAAAATTCTGTTATTTGGAGTTTTGCCGATATGGCTCCAACTCAACGAAACCTTCTTTAGGCCATTAATAGGCAATTGAAATAAAGTGCTTGTACGGATTTGTGAAAATGTTAAAAACGTTTGCTATTATTCATATATTACACGTTTAACAAATGCTCGTATATAAACAGTAACATAAACACGCAAAGTAACATGTTTGCGACTGCTCCTATAATGGTAGATGCAGTCATGAACAGTTTACCATCTAGAGACTATTATAGCCCTAGAATCATTTCTTTTTGCTTAATTGAGGACATTTGACCATTGTGGTTCTCTATTACACAATAAGATTTTAAGTTATTTTACTAACCTTACAAAATCAAGCATTTCAGGGTCCAATGCTCATCTCTAAAGTTACATTCTGCACAAATTATGTGTTCAGACATTAAGGTGTGGCAAAAAMGTTAGAGGTTCAAATTATATATTAGAGAGTGAATACAGCCTTTCCTACGAAACTTTGCAATCACTGCGTTGTGAAACTTTTGTGGCAAAGACTAGGTAGACAGCCTTTTCTGCGAAACTTTGCAATCACTGCGTTGTGAAACTTTTGCGGTTAATGGCTAGGTAGACAGCCTTTTCTGCGAAACTTTGCAATCACTGCGTTGTGAAACTTTTGCGGTTAATGGCTAGGTAGACAGCCTTTTCTGCGAAACTTTGCAATCACTGCGTTGTGAAACTTTTGCGGTTAATGGCTAGGTAGACAGCCTTTTCTGCGAAACTTTGCAATCACTGCGTTGTGAAACTTTTGCGGTTAATGGCTAGGTAGACAGCCTTTTCTGCGAAACTTTGCAATCACTGCGTTGTGAAACTTTTGCGGTTAATGGCTAGGTAGACAGCCTTTTCTGCGAAACTTTGCAATCACTGCGTTGTGAAACTTTTGCGGTTAATGGCTAGGTAGACAGCCTTTTCTGCGAAACTTTGCAATCACTGCGTTGTGAAACTTTTGCGGTNATTAGAGAGTGAATACAGCCTTTCCTACGAAACTTTGCAATCACTGCGTTGTGAAACTTTTGTGGCAAAGACTAGGTAGACAGTCTTTTCCGCAAAACTTTGTATTCGTTGTATATGGTTTGAAACAAATTTGAGTTTAATTGCTAGGTTGGCAGTCTTTTGTACGAAACTTTGGGATTGTTGACTTTATTTCTTAACTTAACAGRAAAACCAGACTGGACGAAGAAGTACGAATTGAAAAAGTAAAATACAAAAGAAAATAAATAAATAAATGGTGAGTTGAACCTTTTATCATAATATCAACTTGGACGTCATATAATATATTGTATATTTTTACCCTAGGATGTTCTTATAAGACATATTTAATGTCAGTCTGACAATGGAAAATAACTCAAAGAAGACAAATTCGCAACATAAAAAGTAAGTCTGATGTATGTATGCTTATTTCCTAGAAAACAGGATTCAGCTTTCTCGTTTGAAGAAATGTMAATTTTCAGATGCGACGCTTATGTAAAGTTTAAAAGWCGAGATAGAGTGTTTCATACCTGATAAAACACGAACTCGAGTGTTTTAAAAGGCTTCAAAAATTCCAACACTAATGTGAGACTCAAATMYGCTAAAATTCTTGGAGAAATTGCGTTATAAGAAATCTAAGCATTATTGTGGTGRAAAAGTCATACTGTCCAGTACATTTGAGCATGCGTTAACGACTTATAAGTACCAGGAAAGTATAAATGYTGATTTATTTTGTTTTGCAGCAATTTCACCATCAGAAGACAATTAAATGACATAAAGCTAGAGGTATGTTTATGAATGATGTCAAGTTACTCAATACGTAGGGCAATAAGAATTATTTCGACCACGCTGTTGATTATCTCAGTCGATTCTAAACTTGACTGAATCTTTGAATCTTGTTATAGTAATGCACAAAAATTGAATGTTTGGATTATATTGTATATTGATCGGGATGCCATGATGTATTATGATGTCTTCAGAAAGTTCACATTTACAATATGACTATGACGATTGATTGATAATTGATTGGTTAATGATTGATTGCTTTGGCAGGATGTCAATCATTGGCTCAAGGAAAGAATTGATTTTACCGGCAATACAAAAGACTCAGTAGACAAAGAAACTTTGTGGCTCGATTTTGTCACATTTTTTAACTTAAATAGCGACAAAAGGTTAAAGTTTTTTGCAATTTTGGGTGCTGCTCTCAGTGGAATGTCTGGAGTGGTTCCAGCAAACAAGAAAAAAAAACGCGTAGGGTATTGTGGCCTTCKTTTAAAAGRACAGCAGCAACACAACAAACAAAATCAAGGAGAGAAGAAGGAAGAAGGAAACAATGAAGAAAAATACAAACCTCCTACGAAAAAAAGAAGAAAAACAACGCTCGAGTATGAAAACGTGGTGTCATGGCTAACAAAGAACTACCGCCAAGTTGATGAAAATGACAGCGTTGCCGGAATATCGATATGGCAGCGCTTCAAGATGGAAGAATGTTGTGCTTCTGATGAACGTGAGGTTTTTTTGTCAATGTTAGGCATGTGCATGAGCCAGAACGTATCTTTCGCTAAAGTAACAAAAAGGAAGACTGGAAAGGTCCATTTCTTTGTACACTTAAGAGAAACATCTGAAATTAAGGTAAACCAGCGCGACCAAGACCAAGATAGTGCAGATTTCCCGAAAGATGATGATGTAGGTGATACCTCAAAAACAGATCAACAAAAAAAGCAAATGACAGATCACATACCACAGGTAAACTCTGCTAATGATTCCATAGATTGTGATGTCTATCCAGCAGAAATTCAAGAAACTACCTCCGATTATACTTTGCTTGAAACTATTGAAGATAATGCACTGTCGGGTGATCAGCACAATATTGATTACGAGCAGATCGATGTTCAATCCGAAAGCGGCGGCGATGACCCTGATAAGAGATTACAAGATAAAGAGATATCATTTGAAAATGATGTTATTGACGACCTACCAGATAAGGAAATAGTGGATTTAGAAACTGACGCCAGTWGCCATTCTGTGATCTGCAGTTCCGATGATAGTGTGGTGAGGGAAGTGACCCATGAGATCAGTATGAAAAGCACCATTGTACTGCGAAAAGACCTGCTAGATAAATTTTATAAAAATCTTACTAATTTCCAGTCATGGCATCTTCCTGGGACCCACTCTTGTTTTTCATCATATCTTGACGAGGTATTTCCTGTGGTTGACCGAGATAACGACGAAAGAAAGAGAATCCATGCTTTGACTGCTAGGTCCAATAAGGCGCCACCAGGTGAAATYAAGACAAGAGCATTTCTTGCGGCTTGCTTTCCTCCCATTAAAGTCGGCTGCACAGCTGGGGGATTAGTATCAAAGACWTTTGAAGATGACCTGTTTCCTCAGTTCAGCCACCACGGAAAAAGTAATTTTGAATGTGAGATATGTATTCCATATCAAGCATGGGCCATAAGAAACCAAAAGCACCATTCCCGCCTAAGGTTCAGGGTCCAGGCAAATGTAGAAAACGTTCTAGATGGCACAGCAACTCTTAGATTTTCTGGATTTTCCATGCTACGAGAACATGCTAAATCAAAGTACCACGTTGAGGCCATTGACTTCTTTCAAAATARTGTAGAGAGACCAACCCCGGTGATGCAGATGATGCCCAGTAGAACTAACAAGGTGAAGTCATCACTCAGTGGACAACAGGAAATCGGCCAATTCTTCGAGAATTCAAAAAAAGAGAAGCGGCTTTCAGAGAAGGGGCACCGGAYAAGAGGTCGGTTAGATGCTGTTATCTCTGGGATCTGGAAGTCGCACAACACTTTGCCCAAGATAAAGAAATAAGGAGAACAACACCTTTGTCACTTTTCAAACAAGAATTAAAGATCGGAAACATAAGTTGCTTCAGACGACATAAAGGGCATGAAAAGTGCAATGTATACAAAAGGTGGAAAGAGAAGCACCCTATTGATTGGAAGGCCCTTAATCACCAAGCCCAAAGAAAGCCAAGGTCTGTCTATATCCCAACAGAAAAGACAATCATAATTGATGGAAAGAGTACGCACATCCAAGGTGGCATAAAAAGTTTGGATCCCCCTTGTATGGAATATGCACGTCCTTCTGGAGAACACCCTTTCACATGTCACAATTGTGCTCTTCAGTATAGGCATCTAAAAGACCTCTTGAACAAACGAAGGTCGTGTTCATTGGCAGGAGTCGAAAACAGAGTGGGTCTAAAGGGAATGAACCGAAGGTATTCTCGAAAGGATGAGATTGAAGCTGCCTTAGATGAGGAAGTCAGACAAAAAAAGGAAATGGAAAGAAAAGTAAGACAACTGACAAAAATTAAATTATCGCAAAAAGAGTGGGAAAGCGTCTTGTACGATTCTTGCTTGAATGGTGATGAAGAAAAACTCCTGCTAGATCTAGCCAAGCTATTCAAGATGGGTGTATCCAAAACAAACCCTATTCAGGTCATGGTTCTACGAAACCTAACAAGCAAGCTACTAAAGAAAAACAACAATCACTATGTGGACATTATCAAAGACATAAGTGGCCTCTTTCGAAATGAGCTGGGAACAACTAACTATGCATTGCTGGCAAATATTTTTGGTCTTGCTGGTAACACAACTGCAGCAAGTCACAGCAAAGGACGACGGTTGGAAGCAGGTTTGAATATAACACTCTTTGATGAAATTGCAAGCGTCTTCAAAGATCTTCCAATAAATGAGTCAAGTGATGGTGCTCGGGCATTACGATACCTTCAGCCAAGGTTAAATAAAGCAAATCAAGTTGTACTTCTTGGCAAAAGTTGGGATCCAAACGTTGCTAGATGGAGCGAAGAAAACATAACTATTCCCAGAAAGAATTCAGGTTTGGGTGACCAAGATGACTTTACAGCCCTAAAACGACTAGTCGACGACTTGATAACCAAAGATATGCTTKCAAAAACTGTGTCGATTCACAACTTTACTGCACTTGCATCTCTTGAAAAGCCAACTCTCTTGTATTGTCTTTGGCCRACTCGTGACAAAGGATACAAAGCAGCGCATCTATTAAAGTACTGGGAGAATCTTAGGAGGCTTTGTTTTTACGACGAACACGACAATCCTCGGCGAGTTCCGATCAATCTGCTAACATATTCTACAGATTCTGCAGGTTTCTCTCTGTCAGCTGCCCTTAAGTTGATGACACCTACCTTAGAAGAGGTGAAAGATAATGTGCTATTTCTTGGTCTTGGAATAGAYGAAGAGCGTTTTCTGGCCCCATACTACTGGAGACTACCTTCTATTGCTGCACTTGACTACGACCACGAGCAGAGGCTTTTTTTAAAGAACCTCAAGTACGAAACAAGGGAACTGACATTTTGGGAAGACGCCAATAACACTACAATAGCTAGCATAGGACACTTGAAAGACCTAAAAGACCGTTGCCAAAATATGGGTCTCGATTGTGGCTTCAGCAACTCAGACCTTATTCTTGTRTACTTTTGTGACCAGAACTCTGACGCTTGTGAAAGGCTTTTTACGCAACGAACGGCAGATCTTTTAGACGAATACATTCCGGGATCACAAGGTACAAGTCTGTATATCAGAGCTGTGTACAGTCTGATCGAGCCTTTCCGAAAAATAAGCTTTGGTAGCCCTGCAGAAATTCAAGAGTCTGTTTCTTGTGGCATTACCGTTCTTCGATTTTGGCGCCGTATCTTGATGCTGAGGAAAATGGCCTTACACTCTAAACCTGGCGCAAAAGCAGAACCAGCAAAACGTGGAAAGTTCATAACTTATGGGTGCTACTCTACTGCAGAAATTATCTTTGCCGCTGCTTCACACTACCAACTTGCCATGTTCCTACATTTCAAAGCGCTGGGTTTAATGTGGTCTTCTCCTGGCAGCTGTGGTACTAAAGCCACCGAAAGAATCATAAGCGAAATTCAAGGAAAGACCACAGAAATCCAATGCCTTGATTCTCAGCCGACATTTGCGGACATGCTGGATCGAAGCACGAAAGTGCAGTACAACTTAAACGTTAAGAAAGACCTCGCTCAAGCAGGTGCCAAAGTCAGGCAGTCTTCGAACCGTCGGCAGATGGCCTTTTCATTCCAAAAGCATCAAGAAAACGTACATAGCTATTCATATCCTGATACCTATGTGGAGTTTCGSTGTGAGCAAAAAGAGGCCCATTACCGTGGAGTAAAAAGGGCCCAGGCACTTGTGCAAAAGTACCTCCCAGAGAGATGCACTGACTTGCTGAAATCGTCAGGATTTTGGGTAAAGCCAAGCGTCTTTAAACAGCCTGATGGCATCAAAATTGTCTCGGAAATTCCCCCAAATACCTACAACAAATTAGACAGATCATATGCCGACATTAAAGATTCCATTGTTAAAGATGAAGTAGTGGACCTTGAAGAAAGTGAAGATATTAATAGTGACAATGAAGATGATGAGGATGACTTAGACGATGAAACTGAAGAGGTTGTAGATTTGGAGCATGATGACGATGTTAAAGACAATCACCCCAAAGAAAGATCAGAGAAATGGATGATTTCAAGACTTGTGAATGGGAAGCTGGTCAATATTCATATCAAAGGAGCTCTTAAATTAGTTCTTCCTCGTGAGTACATATCCCGCAGTAGGAACAAGCGTCATATTGCTTCTAAATATCTCCCAGATAAAGCTCCAATTAATCCCAATCATAACGTTGTAAGGTTTGGAAACGTGGCACTAAAGAGTGTATACAGGGGGAAAAGAGTCTATGATGTTGTTCGCATTGAAASTATCCAATCAACGAAGGATGGAAAAGACATTAAAAGCTTTTCAACAAATAGCCCTTCATCTTTGCGTGTACGTGGTTCGATSTATGGTTACGACAATGCTGTTTACAAAATCAAAAGTGACGTGTTGCTTACGCCTTGGAARTCACCATCCTCTGTAATAGGTCCAGTGGAGCTTATCCCACTCGAAGGTGAGCCAGGATGCTACAATCTACACCATGAATCCCAAGAGAAGCTATATGAAATGGGGTTTATACCCAAGGGAGATGTCACTCTTGGAGACCAAGAGGATTCAGACCTTTCAGAATCGGAACATGARGAGGAAGAACTGCCTGAAGGCTTTTATGAAGTGGAAAGTGTTCTTGCTAAGCGCTTTTCGAAAACAACACACTCCCTGGAGTACAAGGTCCACTTCAAAGGCATGGTGAAGAAGATGACATGTGGCTACCAGCATCCTGTTTTAACCGGGTATTGAATTTTGAATCACAGTCAAGGTATGGAAGAAAAAGGCACCACAAGGTAGACCCCGAAAACGAAGACTCCAAAAATTGTACAGCAAAGAAGAAACAAGGAAACAGCAAAACTGGGGAAAAAAGGATGCCCAAGTCAAACAACAGAACACACAAAAAAACAAGAAAGCAAGACGTAGGAAAACGTAGTCGACAAAGAACCAGCAAAAGCCTCAACCTACAAAAAGARMTTTGTAGTGGTGAAAGTGATCTTGAAGAAATTTCTTTTGAAGACATTCAGCTTCCTACAGAAATCAAACAACGKGTAAAACGCTCAAGAGACCAAAGAACTAAAGCTATTACCATTGAATCTACTGACTCTGAAGATAGTACGTCTGGAACCAAACACAGCCATCCCATACTTTCACATTCCCATGATGAAAATCAAGAAGTGCAGCGAAAAGTAAGATATGTCCGCAGCACTAGTCCTAAGGTAAATAAGAGAAAACGAAGAAAGCCTTGCAAGCAAAACATTGGAAAATGTTTTCGACAATCCCTCAACAAAAGCCTTCAAATGCAAAAAGGAAGGTCAAGCAGTGAGAATGATCATGATGAAATTGATTGTGAAGAGAAACAGGGCCGTARTTTTAACCCAAGTACAGAAAAAGCAAAGAGATCAAGAGATCAAAGCATAGATAAATCTGACTCTGAAGAAATTACTGCTGAATCCAGACCTAGCCATATTTCAAGTTCTGATGATGAAAATGAAGAACTATCACCAAGGGCTAAMTCTCGCGGTAACAGGGCTAGAATGATTATATCATCTGATGAAAATGATGAAGAAGGATCATTACCTGCAGCCGATTCAAATAATTGCCAGAAAAATTATTCAAATTGTCCTGAACTGTCTTTGAATATTCTTAGAGAATCCAACGAGTTCAAAGTTTCACGTCGTCAGCTGTCCCAACTCCGTACACCCAGGATTAATTTCAGCTTAAAACAATATGTTTTGTGTTCGAATGAGAAAAGTACTGTTGATCCGTTGGAAGTGAATGAGATTCCCCCAGAGACGACCATCGACCAGTGTGAAAAAGAATTGTCGGAGCAAATTGAAACCTCCGCGCGCGCATATTTACACAMTTATGGATGCATTGGTCTTGACAGCATACGCCTAATGAGAAAAGTCATCTGGTTGAAAGAAGTCCAAAGAGAGGTAGCATTTGAAATTAACTGGCTGCAGCAGGCCTTCAAAGACTACAAATTAGAAGAACAAAGAAAAATCGAGATGGCTCTTTTGGACAATCTCGTCAAAGAAAAGCATTTCAAAGTCCACTCTTTCCAGTGCAACATTTCTGCTTTCGAACTGGCAACTCTCTGTGGCGAAAGATACTTGTCTGACGAGATCCTGACGTTTATGATAAGTTTATGGTGTTCGAGGACCAACGAAGCAAAAGGGAAGACTGCATTTGTTGTACTATCGCCATTTCTAGCCGAAGAAGGAAATCAGTTTGAAGCCATCTTGCGCAATGCTGCAGTTAATATAAAATTCAACGAAGTAGAAGCTTTCTTTTGGCCATACTTTATGAAACAAAAAAAGCATTGGGGTCTCTGTGTTTTCTGGCTCAGAGAATCTAC